TCCCATTGCTTGCAGTTGTCTTTCCACCCTCATTTCTGCTCAGGTGGCCTGTAGCTGATGAAGCCTTTAAAAGCACTTCGATGGGATAGAATATAGAATATTCTTTATTGGCCTAGTGTGATTGGGCCCACAAGGAATTTGTCTCTGGTGCATAAGTGCTCGGTATACATACAAGCAACAGAGTGACAAATCATCAATCATAAAGATTCAATCATAAATCATAGGGTACAACCAACAAAGTGATAAGTCATAAAATACCAACAGGAGTAGGTAATAGGAAAGATAGAAAAAGATAATAGTAATGCAGTCCTATTACATGATGAGATATCCTTTGGCGTAAGGCAGTGCTGTGGGAATTATGTGTTTAGCAGGGTGATGACATAGGGGAAAAATTTGTCTCTAGTCTTTTTTGTCATGCAATGCTGTGTAGGGACGTTCTGAGGGGAGAAGTTAAAATAGATTATGTCCAGGATGTGAGGGGGTCTGTAGATATTGTTTCAGCCCTCTTTCTAGCTCGTGCAGCATACAGATCCTCAACGGAAGTCAGGTTGGTTGCAGTTGCTTTTTCTGCAATCCTATCTGTTGAAGTCTGTACCTGCCCTGTTTAGTGGCTTTACCCAAAGACAGTTTGAGTTGCCCAATTCTAATTCCTGTTATACTTGACTATTTAACCACACAAGGAATCCTGTGCATAAACATTGGCATCTCCTGCTCCTGTTTTGTGAACGTGTTTATTTTCAGATGCCCACAGAAACCATTTTTAAAAAATACAGCACATTCAGGATACTTGCGGTACCTAGAACGGTGATGGGAAAAAATGTCCTTGACTTTGGCACTACCTGCCTTTAAAATGGAGCCATGTGTTTATCTAATTGAAATAGATTGTGCTAAGCCAGCATTTTGTTTGTTTGATTCACACATCTTGCTAATCAAAACAGTCTGTTTCAAATTAGAATTACAACGAAGTAGGACATTTTGCTTTTTTTCAGGAAATTGTAGTAAAAAAACCCCTGAATTAATCTGTACGGACATAGACATATTAAAGAAATGTTTAGCCGTGGCATCAAATCTGTTGTCTCTGTAGAATCCTTATAGTGTAATCTGTTTTGGCATGATCAAAATGTCCTTACGGGCAGAATAAATTAACCCAAGTGTTGTTTTGATTTAGTCTTCCCATTATTGCATTGAACTTGATGAAAAGATCTGAAGTGTGAAGTCCTTGATGTACATGTATATACAGGTAGTCCTCGAGTTATGACCACAATTTAGCCCAACACCTATGTTGTTAAGTGAAACATTTGTGAGGTGAGTTTGTCCCATTTCAAGATTTTTCTTGACTCTTTTGTTAAGCAAATCACTGCAGTAGTTAAATTAGTAACACTGTTGTTAAGTGAAACTGGTTTCCCCATTGACTTTGCAACCGTCATAAACGGGAGTCAGTTGTCAAGAATCTGAATGTAAATCACTTGACCGTGGGGATACTACAATAGTCATAAGAGGTGGTGGAGGAGGCTGGAGAAGGGCAGAGGCTGGCTGAGCAGTTAGAGGAGGACCCAGGCCCATCCCCTCTCCATCCTAGGGTACACAGGGAGGAGGGGATCAGGGTAAAATGTGGTCTACTTGGGAGGAAAGGGCCTTCTTCCAACGGACTGTCCCTGGTTATCTTCCTGAAGTTGGCAATTATCTATCCTGGTCTGTCGTGGAACCTTATTCAGTGGGGTTTGTTTTTGTTTTTTTGCTTCGTTATCAGCACTTTGAATTTGAACTGTGTTTCTTTCCTTTGAAATGTTATTTTGAAAATAGTTGACTCCTTCACCGTGAACGGTTAAACAATGAAGCCAAGTTGAAGGCATTAAAGGACTTTTAGTTACGTTTTGGGTTTTGTTATATTTCTGATATACTCTGGGTCATTACAGTTCGTTTCACAGCTGGCTTTTATCTTCTTGAAGGAGGGGCCATTACCTTGCAGCCTGACTCCCGAGTCGCCCATGTTGTTGTAACTGCTCTTTCCTACGAGCAATCCTTCGTGCACGTGCACTTGGCCCAGGCTCCTCGGGAACCTCCTCCTCGCTGCTGCCAGCCCCCACAATCTCCGAAAGCGGCAGTCCACTCCCTGATGGTCCTGGCCCCTCATCTGAGTCCTCGCTCTACTCAGCCATCCGCACCTGCTGCCGGCTAACTACAGCACCCTCTGAGAATTTATGCATGGGGATGTGGGCCCACTTTATAACAGATCATGATAGATAGCCAAGTGTAATTCCTAACAGTGGTTTTAATAGGTAAAGTTTCTCTGCTTCTTAGTGCCAAGGTATGTTGAGGACCCCTTTTTCTAATCTGAACTGACCCATCCAATACCTTCTTCACAGTAGATGATGGTCTTGGCGATCCCACCTTTCTAGGAGATAACAGATAGTCCTCAATTTACAACTGACTGTTCAAAGTTACAACGGCACCATCCTCATGGTCATGCGATCAAAATTCAGAAGCTTGACAGCTGACTCATATTTGCGACCGTCACAGCATCCTGGGGATCACAGGATCCCCTTTTGTGTCCTCTGACAAGCAAAGTCAGTGGGAATGCCAAATTCACTTAACAACGGTGTGGCTAACTTAACAACTGCAGTGATTCACTTAACAACTGTGGCAACGAAGGTTGTAAAATGGGGCAAAACTCAATGTCTTGCTTAACAAGAGAAATGTTGGACTCAATTGTGGTTGTAAGTCAAGGACTATCTGTATAGGGGCTGAAACTAAGAAACCCTGGTTCTAACCTAATGGTTCTAACCTTCTCTTTGGACATTAGATGAACCTCTTAAGTGTTTTATGAGTTTGGATGGTAAACACTGGAAGTCATTTATAGGTAATGATTATTTAACTTGTTGAAATGTTATTGTTTTGCTTTGTCTCTTTATTTTTCCAACCACTTACTTGGTTTTATATTCTTACCAGGGACATTTAATTATTTATTTTGTGTTGTGGCCACTATGTTTTTTATTGCCTTGTAAATTGCTGTGAGTTTGAATTGACAATATCATCATCCCTTTATAGACACACACACAGTTTTGTTTTTATTCATTTTTTTAAAAATCTAAGTGTGTCTTGCCTAAGTTGCTTTTGATGAGATTGTAATAGCAATAGCACTTAGACTTATATACCGCTTTACAGTGCTTTACAGCCCCCTCTAAGCGGTTTACAGAGTCAGCCTCTTGCTCCCAACAATCTTGGTCCTCATTTTACCCACCTTGGAAGGATGGAAGGCTGAGTCAACCTTGAACCTGGTGGGATTTGAACTGCCAAATTGTAGGCCGCAGAAATAGCTTGCAATACTGCACTCTACTGCGCCTCAGAGATGGGTGGTTATATCAATTTGATTAATAAAGGCATAAATAAAAGACTCTAAACTTGGGTTAGCATAAACCATGGATGAGAATTCAATCCAAAGTTGGCATAACATATAACATAGGCAATCAGGCAGTGTGAAAATAGAATAAAGAAAGTGCTTTGTTGACTTAACAAGTTTTGGATTACAAGCTATATCCTGGTTAAGGTAAACTAATCATGCCTTAGCCATGATTTAATATTACTATTTGAGTGTAGACTCAGTGCGTAGCATATTTTGTCTACTGGATCTGTATTTGATGTAAAATTTATGTAAAATGTCTAAAGAGCACTCTTTTTCAACATTGCTGATAATTAGGAAGTTTGGTCTCTTTGGGGAATGCTTGTCATATTTTTATCTGGCTGCGGCTTAGGGTTGATTGCTGGGAGATATTTTAGTGGAATTTGTTTTGTAACTGTAGGACTATTTATCATGCTTAGTTTTCATTTATCTTAAAAGAAGGTGAAACTGACTGTTGCTGAGTTAAATTAGACTCTTTAGTGTGCTAGTCCTGAATTCTGTGGTTTTTAAGGGTGCCTATTTTTATAATGCTGTATTACTTTGAAAATGCTTGTTTGTACTACCTGGAGTGAACAGTCATGTGTATATCTACCATTAGTAAATTAAGTGTAGTCTTATTTATTTTGACACAGTATGTTAAATTTTGTCTTCCTTTGATAAACAGTTCAACTTTGGATAAACTAATGTGAAATGTTAATTTGTTGGTCTTGTTTTGAGACAGACTATGAGGTTTTTTTCTCTCTTCAAGCTGATCTTTTCTTGTTCAGGAAACCTCTTTGGGAGTGAAAAGTATTCAGGCTAGCAAAACACTTATGAAAAGCAAGCATGGCTGTTGTTCAGTCTTTACAGAATGTACACTTCAGAATGCTGGAGGAAAAGAAGAATGTATGTTGCAAAAAAACCACCTTCTGCTTTAGCTATTTTTTGTAGTGTCTACTTGCAATTAAGCCCTATACTGCTTATTCATATTAACATTTTTTTTTTGCACCCAACAATTTAGGATTTTCTTATTCTGTTGGCCATGTTTTCCTTTGCTAGGGAAATCTATTGAAGGCCTAACTAGTTATTTAGAGGAGACCCTGTTGGGATTAGGGGTCTTTTTGGAAATAATTCAACTGAATTTAGGCATACTTTTTGGAGCTATAGTGGGGGGTTTTGGGGGAGGGGGTTGATTCAGGGAATTACTCCAAATGTATTAATGGTTGCTTTTAATGTTGAGGATGTATCAACACTCCCTTTGGCTCCCAAGTTTATACTTGGCTCTAGAGCAGGGGTCTCCAACGTTGGCAACTTGAAGCCTGATGGACTTCAAAGCTTTGCTGGCGGGGGAATTCTGGGAGTTGAAGTCCACCAGGATTCAAGTTGTCAACGTTGGAGACCCCTGCTCTAGAGCTTCCTGGGTAAAGTCACCACTGCTTCTGCAGGTCAAATCAGGTCAGAATCTTCTGACACTTTATGACATCAACAATAATTTGACCGTTCTCTTCAATTCTAGCTAGCCTATGCGTTTAAAAAAGTGTGCAGAAAAAAACAATCCATATATATATTTCGCGGAACTAATATAATATAAATTTTATGCCATTTTTTTTTTCGTTCCTAGATTTTCAGCTGAACTCTCATCTATCAACACTGGCAAATATTCACAAGATTTACCATACCCTTAATAGGCTGGTAATTGCTTACATTTTTGAAAAATCTTGGTTATTTAATGTTAAATAGATGTTAAAATATTCTTCCATTATTATTTTGCCATCAGCAACAAAGACCTGTGTAAATTCAGCTGTGCATACTTTCATTTGAGCTAATCCTTTATTGATCTTTAATATTCAAACTTTAGATGCACAACTGGTATGTTCATTCATTCTTCCATTTAAACGAATACCCCTCTGAGTCCACATACTTTAAGATTGTTATCCTGATATTCCTACTACCCTGCATAGTCTTGCCCACTGGTAGGGTTGCATATTAGCATAATAAGCCTGCTGTAGGATTATCAGAAAAGAATGAAGCCAGAGCCAAAGTTTTTCTTAGTAAGTTTTAATGCTTTGGGGGTCTTGGTATAATGGGAATCGTGATATTATTTAGATATATACTTGTTTATGTGTTTAATATAACTCACTGAATTTCTGACCATAAGGACTCTTAGATTATCCAGAGCTGCTTATCCCTTTCAAAATACGTATATAATGTGTCGAATATAAATAAGATATTAAAACATATCAAGCTATTTCTTGGGCCCCCTTCTTTCTGGAAACATCAAGAAGCTTGCCTATCACAACAATAGGTCAATTGTTGAAACATTTACCACAGGAACTATGAATTAAGCAAAACATTGGTTTTTGTCACGGTTTCACAGATAGAGAAATGAAGCTAATTCACTAATTACTAATGAGAGAAGATGGCAAGGGAGTGAGGATCACAGGCAGAAAGCAGTGCTACTTAATTCATTCTTTGCATCTGTCTTCAAGCCAGAGGGAAAAAAATAGTACAGACTGCCAGAGACAGAACTGTAAAAGACAAACTAGGAATACAGTTTAAAATAGGCAAGAGAATGGTAAGAGAATTCCTGTTGCCCTAGATGAATTCAAATCACCAGGACCAGATGGATTACATCCCAGAGATCTGAAGGTGCAGTCAGAGATGATCTTTGAACCAGTTCTTTCAATGATCCTGGAGCACTGGAGAACTACCAGAGACCTGGAAAAGAGCTGATGTGGTTCCCATCGTCAAAACAGGGGGGAAAAAATGATCCAGGAAATTACAGACCAATCAGACTGAAATCAATACCTGGGAAGATCCTGGAAAAGATAATAATTAATCTGTGAACACTTAGAAGCAAGCAAAATTTGTAGTCAGAAGCCAATATAGGTATTTCAAAAACAGGTCATGCCAAGCAAACCTTATTTCGTTCTTTGACAATGTGACTAAATTAGTGGACCAGTGAAATGCTGTGGACATAGTACACTTAAATTTCATTTAGGCATTTGACAAAGTAGACCACAACCTGCTTCTTGGTAAGTTAGAAAAACGGGGGATAGACAAGCATCACCACCAGATGGATTTATAACTGGATTACAGACCTCATTCAACATGTATTCCTTAATGGAACTACATCTATACGGAATACCCCAAGTTCTGTTTTAGGTCCAGTACTCTTCAATATCTTCATAAATGATTTAGGAGAGGGAATAAAAGGGAATTCCGTGTGCTGCACCCAAAACAATTCAATGCAATCTAGGCTGCATCTAGGCTCCTAACAGAGGGATAGAATCAAGATCACGTGAGGGGTTAGTATCCCTTTACAAAGTCTTAATAAGACCATACCTGGAATATTGCATCCAGTTTTGGTCTCCACAATAAAAAAAAATATAGAGAGATTCTAGAAAGAATGCAGAGAAGAGGAACAAAGTGATTGGGGGTAGGTGGAGAACACATAACTGTAGTACATGCTTGAGCTTGTTCTGGATCTTCCTTTACTTGATACAATCCAAAACATCTGGAGGGCACTTGGTTTCGTAGTATCTGCTTCAAGTGTAGACCTTTTATATCCAATTCCTGTATTATTTTAATCCAAGGGAACATTTAATCCCACTGTTAATATCGGTTATAATCAGGCTGCATTTATCTTGCTGACTTTGGGGGCGGTGGGAGGGGGAAATCAGGCAATGTCTTATTATTTACTTATATGGATAAGTTGTTTGAAATTCTTAGAAGTGAGGTGAAATCTGGAACTTTGTTGAACCCATGCATTTTGCAGTAATTAAAGGGAAGTAACAAAACAAGAATATTAATGACATTTTTTTTTATGATAAAACACTTAAGAAATTTCATCCAGGATAATTTAAAGCAGAAAGTTCACGTTTTTCCCTCAGATAAGAAAGTCAGTAATAACTGTAGCCTTTGATATTTAAATCTGGTGAGGGAAAATAGTAGGCCAGAATAAGATAGCTGTCAATATTTGAACCTATAAAGCAATATCCAAACTCCTAGTTAATTTAATTTTTTTCCAGAATTTGACAGAAGATACTAGTCAAGACGATAACCAAACAGGTAATATTACAGAATTTTTAAGAATGTTGAGTAACCTTATTAAGTTTTTATTTGTTAGACAAATTTGTATCATACTTTAATTTCTATCAAAATCGAGGAGAAGTCATTTCCAGGATTTATAAAATTATGTGATAGATTGTTTTAAAGGTGTATTAATGTTATTCACTTATTTAATATCGTTACATCAATTACTTTTTCTATACCATAGTAAATGTTCAATTAAAACAATAGATTGCTATAGTAGGTATATTAAAAACATTTGATTAATCATGGTTTGTTTAATTATCTTCAGTTAATAAATCAGAGTGGTTGAGTTCACACAACCTGTAAATCATAACCATTAGTACAGAACTGTTGTGACCGAGTTCGCAAAACATGCTAAGAAAAAACCCAAACAATTCCTATTATAGATACTAATATATTATACATTTGTTAGGCCTTTAGGAGCATTTGCACCTCTGAATTTTCTCTGCTGATGTTTCAGTGGAGTTTAAAAGATCTGTATTTGATTGATAAGCTGCCTCAAAGTCTTGCGACAAAGTGGAACTTAATGAAATAAGATTTTTAAATAACATCTACCTATTTCATGTTTGTCTCTTTTCCCTACATTCTTTTACAGGAAACCTGAGATCTTGCAGTTCATCAGACAGCTTTAGCAAAGTGATGCCTCCAAGAAAAAAAAGGCGACCTACAACAGGAGATGATCTGACAGCTAAAAAAAGTAGACATGATAGGTAAGTAACCTTTCTTATTCGGACACTTTTCAATTAAGAAACAGGACATTTGGAAGGGCAGCAATCCAGGAGAAGATGGTTCAACTTTCAGCTCTCATCAGTAGCTCATTTAAATGAGATTTCTAGGCTTTCGTCGGTTCTGCAGGCGTAGCACAATTATTTCATAGCTCATTATTTTAAGAGTCATCGTCAATGCTACCTATTCTTCTGTAAGAAATTATTTAAGAGGACAGATTTCTCCACAGATTTTATCATTTGACCTATGTATTCTGCACACTTTGATTGTGACTGAGTGGCAAAATGATAAAGAACCCTATAAAGCAGAAATCTCGCAATGGTGAGCCTTAATTTGTAGTAAGTAAAGCGAATTAAGATTTGGTAAAGGATGATTTGTTTCCTGCTTCTGGGTTGTACATGAAAATACTTGGGAAGAAATGTTTTGGATTGCAATTTAGCATATAAGTTCTATTCATTAGAACAGCCTAATTTTTTTTTTCCCTTGGTGTCAGTGCAAATCAGAAAAAATATCCTCGTGCTGTAAGAGTTGCAGCTGATTTCATAAAGCAGCCACTTCTTTTTTCAGGATCATGCCATCCGTGCGTCTTTTTAAGGCCTGTCTTGAAAGTGCTTTAAATTCCAGTGCAGAATTTGGAAGTTCATGCAAATAATCCGATAAAATTATTTGAAGTGTCAGAACTTTGCAAGTGAGTGGGTTGATTAGGGACAAGAAGTTACTTCGAAGGTTTGCAATCTATCGGCATTGACGTATCATTTTATAGAACCGTGAAGCATCATGTTCTTAAGCTTTTTCTCTTTTTTTTCAGCGTGTACAGAAAATACGATTCTACCAGAATAAGGTCAGAAGATGATATGTTTTCAAGTAAAAGGTGTTTAGAGTGGTTCTATGAATATGCAGGCAAGTGTTCACATCTGCACATTTCTTAAATATTACTAAGCAAGAATTTGAAAGGAAAAATCAATTCCTGTTTGAAGTATTAAAGTATCAACTTTTAAAATTAAATAAGGATGACTTCAAATAATTTTACTTTTCTCCAAAAGTGCAACAACTTTTGACTTGAAATTATAGTCAGTTTTGCAGATACTTAAGAGATCCATTTTTGAAGATTCAAGGGTGGGTTTAAGGTGCTGTATTGTAAGCATTTGAAGAGTATCTCTTTTTGGTTAATTGGAGCAGTGGATATGAATCTGCAATAAAGTAAATAATAACGTTTGATTCTGTTTTGAGGAACCTTTGGGCTCTTTGAATATTTGCATGTTGTGACAGCTGTATCTTGTGGGATTGAGATAGAGAAAGGAGTTTTTGATCTTTGGACCTGCACTTCCTCCTGTGTGCCTAAGCAGTGTTCAAGAAATCACATCCTTGTAAGAGCTGCTCTTTTTGTATAGTCCAGCCATTTGGACTTTAATAATCAAGTGATTGTAACGTTGGAGTAGAAAATAATCTTTGTTGTTTACTTGTAGGAAAAGATGATGTTGTGGGTCCTGAAGGAATGGAGAAGTTCTGTGAGGACATAGGGGTTGAGCCAGAAAACGTACGTTCAAGTTCATATATCGGTAGCAGAGAACCAGTTTGTGCTGCTCCCATTTCCATTAAACAAAAAAAAAAGATTGTTTGTGAACCTGATGAGGAATTTAACACATTGATAGTGCTGGTACCGTGTGCTTCTCCATCCTGTAGTTAAATGGCAAATATGGTTACCACACATGGGCAGCTCAGGCACACAATTTCCATTTGTGATTAGATAATTGTAGCAAATGGTTTCATATGTCCATGCATGCAGGATGTATGTTATAGTCCATGCATGTATACTTTCCAGTTTGTTTAGGAATACATACATCCAGAAACAACGTTGACTTGCATTTGGATGGCATACTTAAAAAATTGCTCTGGTAACAAGCTATCACAAGAAAACCACTTTTTCACCTACCAACGAGATGGATCATTGGGCATATGTGGGGCAGAAATTATATACTTTATCATTTGACTGTTTTATACTAACCATGATATGAAAGTGGCCCATTGAAATTATTTGATATTTCATGTTTTTGCTGAATAGAAGTAATAAATTTCTGGCAGTCACCTTTCCTTTTTATGGTTCAGATATCTTTGTCTTTCTGCTTACTCCCTGAATGCCAACAGTGGGAATGTCCCCTGCACATTTTCAAGTCTAAATACTTGAAAAAAAATGGAGCTGTGTATCACTTCTGCCCTATCCCTGGTTGCCAGTACAAATCTTTGAAAACCAGATGCATTAAGAAAAGCATTGAATAAGTAAAAATTCTTATGTAAACTTTGGGATCTTTTTTTATTTATTTTTATTATGCTTTTTCAATTTACACACATGTTTAACATTTTTGACAGCAGTGTGGCATATAAGCATATATAAGCATCTACACATTCATATACGTTAATCATTATTTCTATTTTTTAGCCAATTGTATCATTTGTTCTTCATTGTCTTTTGATTCTAACGTGAGCTTGTCCATCTCAGCACATTCCAACACTTTCTGTGTTACTAATTCCTCAGACTGTATGCTATCCCGTTTCCAACACTGTGCAAAAGCAATCCTGGCTGCTGTTGCTACGTGTAATATGATATACAGTATTTAGTCTTTTTGCTAAACTCCCCTTTGATTATTCCTAATAGAAACAGTTCAGGTTTCAGTTCAGTCAATTTGGTGTTTCATTATTTCTTGTAGCCAGTTTCTTATTTTTACCCAATATCTTCTCGTTTCGGGACATAACCACCACATATGAAAAAAGTGCCATATTTATGTTTACATTTCCAGCATTCTGGGCTCGCTCATATTAGGATACATCTTTGCCAATCTTGCTATGCTAAATGCAATGGTAGAACATTTTATAAATGTTTTCTTTATAGGCCATGGACATTGTTAATTTATAGTCCATAATCTTTCCCAGTGTTCTTATTCTATACTATATCCAAAATTTCTTGCCCATGCTATCATGGATCCTTTAACTGCTACTTCTTCCATATTAAATTTTTGGGATCTTTTGTTTATTTTTAAACCAGGTAGCCATGCTTGTGTTGGCTTGGAAATTGGATGCTCAGAATATGGGCTATTTTACATTGCAAGAATGGCTAAAAGGAATGACATCCCTGCAGTAAGTATTATTTCTATTATCAAATGTGAAATAGCTCCAGTAGCAATCTATTGTCCTCTTGCAAAGTTGATCTTGCACGTCTATATAAAGTAAAAAAGAACCTGTACTGTCTTATCCAATAATTTTGTGAAGATGCATAAAACATCTAGGAGCTGTGGTAACGCAGTGGTTAAAATTCAGCGCTGCAGGCCAACTCTGCCCACTGCCAGGAGTTCGATCCTCTCCAGCTCCAGTTTGACTCAGCCTTCCATCCTTCCGAGGCGGGTAAAATGAGGACCCAGATTGTTGGGGGGGCCATATGCAGACATCTGTAAACAGCTCAGAGAATTCTATAAAGCAGTATATAAGTCTCAAGTGCCATTGATATTTTTTTCTGAATATTTGTGTGGTTTTATTTACTGTTCATCCCACAAGACTTGAGGCAGGTGACAAAGAATGAAAGAAATATATTCTATAAAAAATTGGGATCATTCAGTATTTAAAAGCCTATCTTAACAGAAATACTTTGGCGCCTAAAACATTGTGGAACAACTGGTTTTGAAGCACTTCCGGTTGTAGCCAAGAGTCTCAAGAACAGCCATCTCCATGCCTTTCTCCCTGGCCCACTTGCCACTTGTCTCAATTGCACTCACTCATACGCTGTCTCCTTCCAGAGCCAGCTCATGGCCATTCTTTCCCCTGAATTCCTTCTCCCACTAGGTCCCAAGTGATGGGGGTTAAAGCCCCTCCCCTCCTTTGGGGGAGAGCAATTTACAGTGCCCCACCTACCTTAGGAGGCTGCCCTAGATCTTCCCCTTAGGTGTGTTGTAGATGGATTTCTTTCACATGCTTAAGTGAAGAAAGGCTGTTGTGTACAGTATAATTTTGTGAGAGATATTTTTGGAAAAAGACTTCTCACATTTTAAAAACAGGGGATTTAGAAGTTGTGGGGGTGATTGCAGCAGTTTGTCTCCCTAACATTTAAATCGCTTATTCATGACAATGATTAACTTTACAGGTGTGACACAACAGAGAAGCTAAGAAATTCTTTGGATTACTTGAGATCTTTATTAAACGAGCCTATGAATTTTAAGCTTATTTATAGATATGCGTTTGACTTCGCACGTGTGAGTAGCCTTAAATTCTGTTACATCTTTCAGTAAATCATGGCTAAAATGAGAAAACCACGTGGGATGCTTTATTTTTCTCTCCTAAATTGTTCGCTTGAAAAGAAATACTCTTGATTTGAAACTGAGGGGAGAAATTAACCTTGCTTACCTGAAGGGCAAAGTACATTACATTCTAGTTGGAAGCATATTGTGAGGAGGAGCCCAGGTATTGGCTGCACCTCCATTTCTGACCCATTGCAAACCATCAGGACTTGCAAAATACAACCTGTCCAAACCATACATGTTGTTCCAGAGCCTTCCAAAAATTTTTATTTTATTTTTAAATCATGTTAATAATGTCATAGAATGTTCTATCCACGGTTTCTGCCCTCAAAACAATTTTGTGTGTCATGGAAGTGATGTCAGTTTGAAACATTTTCATGCCTCCAATATTTAATGGGATAGGAAGGGAAGTATTAAATATATGGGAAGTTGTCATTTGATAAGTGTTAAATGAAAGTTAAAATACTAAAGTGTTGATTTTTTAAATGCTTTCTCTTGGCTCTTCCTGCTTCTGAGATTGTGGATTGTACTCAAGAGTCCAGAAGAGGCCATCAGTCTAAAACATTGTATATATCCCTGATCTTTGGGGTTGATTATTGTAACAAGAAGAAGTCACTATTCCTTTCTATTATCTTAATCACAGAATGGGATGGTGTAATTCATGCCTCTTAGTATGTGAATAGGTCACTTCCTGGAGTTTGGAAGTATGTCTTCATACTGAAGATAACATTAAATACTGTAACGAACTCTAGAAAGAGTGCAGAGAATAGTAACCAAGATGATAATGAGTCGAGAGACTAAACCAGGGGTGTCCAACCTTGGCAACTTTAAGACTTGTGGACTTCGAAGCTGGCTGAGGAATTCTGGGAGTTGAAGTCCACAAGTCTCAAAGTTGCCAAGGTTGGACACCCCTGGACTAAACAGTGTCATCAATGGTTAAGGGGACTAGGAGTCAACTCATAAAACAGGTGTCAGGTATGCTTAGTCTAATAAAAAGAAGGATTAGGTAGCTGTCTTCTGCTACTTGAGGGCCTATCCCAGGAAGGAGAGGGTCAACCTATTCTCCAAAGCACCAGATGGCAGGACAAGAAGCAATGGGTGGAAGTTTGTTAAAGAAAGATCTGGAACAAAGGAGGAATTTCCTGAAGTAAGAACAATGAATTAAATCTCTAGGAATTCTAGCTTCACTGCCTTTCAAGCATTGATCAAAACAGAAAGCAAGGGAATGCTAGATAAGAGCTGGATTATACTTTTTTGAGGAATAAATTGGTGTGTCTCTTAGCTCCACTGAGCAATATTACAAGTATTTTTTTTGTTCCTTCTGACAGGAAAAAGATCAGCGAAGCCTAGATATGAATACTGCCAAGTGTATGCTAGGACTCCTCTTAGGAAAAACATGGCCCCTCTTTCCAGTATTTCATCAGTTCTTAGAGGTACAAGTAGAAAATAACTTTATGTATTTTTTTTTAATGCAGCATTAAAATTAAACTTGAGAATCAATAGTGAATTAATTGAAAATGTTGCAACGTAATAACTATTTACAATTACAATGAACACAAATAGTTATATCTAAATTTGATAATTCTTTTTTTTTTTTTTGGCTTGGAATTTTTGCTAGGAGTAATGTCTATTAACTCGAGGTTTGCTTGTTAAATTGTGTTTTTATTGCAATGGTGTCTTTTGCATCAATTATTATTATTATGCAAATGCATTAGATGTAAATGACAGACATCTGGATCTAACACATTCCGTTCTCTAAAGTGATCCATTATATCGAGGCTGAACTAATATGCAAAGTATCTATTTGTGATTTCTGAAAAGGAAGAGCAGGCAACAGTATTTTGTTGGCTTACTTACTGTAAAAGAGACAAAGATTTGTTTAAAATTCTCCGTGCAATGTATCCCAGAAAAATGGATTCTTGATGGCATCTTCCTTTCATCTGATTTTGTCATGTTTTGGAGGGAAGATATTTTTTGCTGTGTTTGGTAGCCTTCAATGTTATTGCTATTATAATTGTATAAAAGAATATCACACCTTCTATTATATTTGCAAAATTAGCTTTTGCATTTGACTTTGTTCAAAAGGTGTTTTGAATAACTGCTGTTTTTGTTTTAAGTAGCAATCGAAGTACAAAGTTATCAACAAGGACCAATGGTGCAATGTGCTGGAGTTCAGTCGATCCATTAATCTTGACCTCAGCAATTATGACGAAGACGGAGCATGTACGTATGATGAGGAAAGACAAAGAATCATTTCACATCATATCTGTGATCTCTCTATGCCTTTTTTGTGTTTTTGCAATGTTTTTTTTTTTACAAAAATCTTTCCTTTTTTCTTTAAAGGGCCAGTGTTGCTGGATGAATTTGTGGAGTGGTATAAAGAGAAACAAATGACATAGGAATTTTAACTATGCACAGCTGCTCAAGAGCCTTTGTTACTACAGTTAATGTCAACCATTAGCCATAAACTTCTCTTTGTATATAAAGCGCATGCTGCTTTTCCTGCACTGTATCCCATTTTCAGGGATTTTTTTTTTGGTGTTTGCTGTTTAACAGGCCAGCTCTGCTTGCTGTGTACCATTGTTCTCTCCGAAAAGGCTGCTTTGCGTTTTGTCTCTACACTACAGATGGTGAACTTGCCAGCATCCTCACTGTGACTAATGTGAATATTGCTGTCTAAACTTTGTATATGTGTATAAAAAAAAAAAAAAGCTTCATCTAGGAATGTTTTCAGCAGGAAAGGTATTATAAAAAATAATTTTGTCGCATTCAAGTAACCACGTAACTTAATTTTTAATTGACTTGGTCTCCCGCATAGCATTTCAGGGAAAGTGATTGGGGGGAGGGGGGTTTGGCTATGTAGAACTATTGCTAGTTAGTAATAGTTGTTTTAGGATGCCAGTTTTTGAAGGAAAATCTTGAAAGCAGGGTTTCCTTGGCAGTGTCCAGCTTCATTTTTATTTAAGAAGCAATTATTGGTTACTATTTTAATTGAAACTCTTTAATAAATTGTTACAGCTTGAACCGAGTTGTACATGCCATAGTAACTTCCATATGGCAATAATGCTAATTTTCTCATAGTCAGATGCTGTAGTTTGCTAAGAGGTACAGGTTATCTAATTAAACATCTGATTAAAAAAGGGTTTTAGACTTGTAACGTGGCATATTCTTTTATTTTACTGTCATTCTTGTTCCCAGAGTGTTTTGATGATCTGGATAAAGACAGAATGAAGTCTTGTTTCAAAACACAGCCTAAATGTATGAATGTATTTCAGAAACTGGAATCAAAGCTTAGCCTGAAAACTCGGCATGGCTGCGTTTATATTCCAGGTATTGAATTCCCCCGGCAAAATGCCAATTACGAGCAACATCTACTCTAATCAAAGCAGCATCACTATTTATTTGGAATCATTTTTTATCTGTTTGGACTGGAAAGTTCAAAGAAGTAGATGAATGAAGTAAAACTTTCTGTCTCACCTTTTCATCAGTCTTCATAATACAGTTCAATGTACATTTCTATAATTTTTTTTTTTACTAAGGTAGCTATAGACTTATTGAAACTGCATTCAAAAATCCATTGGTCGTTGTTCAATCAACCAAGAGTTCATTGTGAAATTTGCAATAAAACGTGAGCTTGCCTTTTCTTTTACAGAAAGTTAAAAGCTACATGAACATTCAGAATTTACGAATATAAATTAAGCTTCAGTGACAAATTAGTACAAACCACTTATTTTTATTTTCAAAGCACTGAAGGTATTTGTAAAGGAAAAAAAACCATGTATATCATAAACACACGTAGTCTCTTTAGGGCTCAATACTTCTAAAAAAGCAAAATAAGAAAAATAAAGGACTAGAATCCAAAGAGATCCACATGCAAATATGATTCTGTCCAGAACAGGAGCTGTGGGAATGAAGCTTCTCTCTCTCTCTCTCTCTCTCTCTCTCTCTCTCTCTCTCTCTCTCTCTCTTTCTTTTTCTTTTTCTCTCTCTATTCCTTTCCTTTCCTTTCCTTTCCTTTCCTTTCCTTTCCTTTCCTTTTCCTTTTCCTTTTCCTTTTCCTTTTCCTTTTCCTTTCCTTCCCTTCCCTTTCCTTCCCTGATACCTTCATGAGCTTCAGAAGGCTTGGGAACAGGGATTGAGTGGGGCAGAGCTACCCAAGCTGTTGGCCAAGTAGTAAGACTGGAAAGATCAAATGGATGCAGTTACAGTACCTAGATGGACCTTTCACAGGCTACCACTTCTGTTGTCCATTTCTTTCCCAAAGTAGAGTTGGAAGTTGGCTGGGCAGTTCCCTTTAGCCAATCTCTGTTGAGAACAGGCAGGTAATACCATGAGCCGGTTCATGCTCCTTCCAGGACCTCCTGACCTACATTATTTAGTATAGCCATAGTCAAAACCTTTTAACTGTCCAACTGGGAAGATACAAATAGTGGATAGATTACAGGCTAATTTTGTTGAGACATAAAAGGACTTTCAGTAACAAAGGTAACAGCCAAAGAACTTTTATGAGATCTAGTTTTGATAAAAGTATAAGGTTAATAAACTTGTCTTCGTTCTTGGGACCGATTCTCACTTTTTCTACTTACACATGACTATTAGTATACAAAGCAAAAAAACAAAAAAACACCTGATCAAGTGGCAGAGAGCAAGAGAGGAAACACTTCAAAATTATACTACCTTCCATTTAAAAATGAAGCACCAATTGGGTTCAGAAATCACTGTTAAACATGGCCGAAGAGCAGAAGCAACTGACTGCAGTCTGTTTTCCTTTGTCTAGGAGAGGCCTCTTATGGCTTCTTCTACAAAGTTGATCAAGAGACTTTTGTGACTTACGTTTTGCTGTCTCTCTCTCTGTCACATACAAAGAATTGGCTTTGCCTGTAAAAGCAGGCTCATCAAACTTAATGATCAAGGACACGATGCTCTCAACTTTTGTGATATACAAACAGAAATGAGAGAAAGGTTCCACTTGATACGTGGGTCAGAATTGTATTTTGAGTTTTTGAAATGCTGACCTCCCTATTTAACCAATCATCCTCAGAACTGTCCTGATTCCTAGGGGGAAAATGGCATTTTCTGGAAAACTTATGTAATGATATCTGAGTAAAAGGTAATCAAAGTTGTTCATTTTTCATACATTTTGAATTTTTGGCACTTTTTAAAATAGTATGATCGATTTTTTGTTGTTAAGGGAAAAAAGGCCGTACATTGAGTTGGTTAAAGCTGAAAATATCTTTTCTACAGAAATGCTAGCAAGATATGTGTGTATTATTCTAATGTGAAATTCTTAAAAGATAAGTTTTTTAAATGACCAAGTGAATAAACATACAAGAATGGTCGAATGGCCCATAATGTCTATATTGTCCAGTACCAAAGACTGATGAATCTTTTATGCGCTTACCTTTCAGAATCAGAAATGGTATTATCAGTTCTAATATCTACTACTATTTTTACCATTTTCTTTTTGGGATCGGGTCAGATAAATTCAAATTGAATACTGAAAATGTAACCTTCATCTGAAAGATTTTTGGTTTGTACAAACCAAATGATCTGTGCTTTTTGTAAATGTGGGGAACAAAATTGTGAAAGCGTTCCATAATTTAGTATAAATTTACATAAAGCATTTAATTAAACGTAAATAGTTTCCTGCTTTCCTTTTTAAACAATTCATATCGGTTGTGTGGGGACTTCGCAGATACATTTTACTACATATACACATTATAATTTTAATTCTGTGCTTGTAGTTAAATTTTCTCCTACTCTAACTAATGGCAACTCCCCCCCCCCATTGCTTTTAGAGAAACTGGCATATAATAATGTTGAATTCCTAATGGAAGAACTTCTAACAACACTTAAATATTTGGTAGTACCGATACTTAAGTGCTTTGTAATCGATAATAAAGATTTGGTTTGTGCCTCAGTAAATGGCAAGTGTTAAATACCTACTAATAGCGTTAAACTTTGCCCTTCTCATATGGTTGTGTAAATGCAAAAACTTATTTCACCGATTTACACTGACTTTCTGGGAAACTAAAAAAAAACCAAAACCCATGTTCTGTAACACCCTGTTGTGACAAAAACAGTTTACCTGCTTTTTTGTCTTTAAAGTTTCCATATGGCATACCTGAAGTGCGCACTTTGGCTTACTGCAGTTGTGTCACCTCCTTGGAATTTGATACAGTGTAGTTGTGTATAAATCACAATATCTTCTAACTAATAGAAACCCGATTCAGTCTCAAAAACGTGCATTAAATAAAAATTCTGGAGCAGCATTTTTGAAACCTGGCAACTGTAAAATCCTGACGTGGACTTCAGTTCCCAGAATTCCCCAGCCATTTCCAGGAGTTGAAGTCCACACACCTTAAACCTTCCAAGTTTGGAGGGGAAAAATTACTCTAGAGGTATGTGTGTGGTGCCTACATCTGCCTATGCCAGCCCATTTTACCCAAGGAGAGAGCAGGGATTGGTGAATCCCAAAGAAGCTATGGAGGATGTTATCTGTTCTAATTTGAATATCACAAGCTAAATCTACTTCATGGTCCCAATGCCTCTGGTTCATGCCAAGTAATGTTTTAGCAGCTACATAACAGATCAGTGTTATAACCACAGGACAAGGAACAGTTGGAAGAGAGCTACATACACCCCAATTTTAGGGCTGCATACATTCCCATGTACCACAATTTGGGGGACAATTCAGAGTTAAGAAACAAAACCAAAACAGATCAGTTTATATTGTTTATTTAAATGGAAATTTTACAAATACACAGAACTTCCTTTGGCACTTGGAAATCCAAACTTCATAGCGACATGATAAAAATCTAAGGCATAAATGCAGTCTTTAAAAACTGAAATACACAACGTAGCATATAGTTTAACAATAAATTACTCCATTTTATATAAATTATTAGTAGCAAACCTCAAATAAGAACAGCACCACAGTAGAAAAATAAATTGATAAATGACCAGTTTAATTTTTAACTGAATATTATTTATTAAATACCATTAATCATATCGAAAAAGATTCTGAATTTTGTTTTATCTATTGTGTGCCTAAAGATGATTTGGATTAGAAGACCAGAAGCTTCAAGTTAATTGAAATATTAACACTCATTCTAAGCTGTCAGTATAATGCTGCAAAATAGCAAAAATATTCCTCTACGATATGCTCCAAAATTTAAAATGAATAAATCGTAGCAATAAGCACAATAATGTTGTAATCCCAATATTTCATTGAAAAAGTTGATCGGGTTAATGCCTGGCCAATGTCCTCACTCAAAAGCATGAGGAATTTATCCTATAAGGTATAGATTCAGATTAAATTTAGAAGAGTTATTGGAGAACTTAATAGAATTCATAGTGTGAAAGCAGCTATATCGGTTTCCTAGTTCACTCAGCTGCAGTGAGAAATCTTTGGAGGGAGACTTGCCTGAACAGACAGAGTTGCTTTAATGAGACTCAGATGCGGTGTTTACACTCTTCATTCTAAAACACTGCACATTCCTATTCATCCAATCTTCACAGCATCTATGCCCTGCTGAGAACATTTTCAATATATGTATGGACTTTTTATTAGGTTACTAAGGAGATTATGTCTCTGAATCCAGTGTTAGAAACTGGCCCAGCAGACCAGTCAATTCTTCCTTTGTAAATAAATATCTGGGATCCAAAAGTGTCCTTGCAATTCTTACTGCAATTCTTTTTTCTTTCATGTGGCCTATTAAAGCCTTATATGACCAAAATAATAATAATAATGATAATAAAAATAATAATCAAAAGATATATTCTAATCAAAAGCAAACCTTGACATGTTTAGTACGTATATCCTGTGAATTTTGATGAGAAGTATAACCCATTGCCGAGCTAAGTATTCCAAACACTTCCTAGACAGGAAGTCTTGACTTAACTGTTCATTTTGCGACATTTCAAAGTCACAACAGCCACTGAAAAAAGTGACTTATGACACTTAACAACCACTGCAGTAGCCCAACAGTCGTGTGGTCAACATTTGGACACTTGGCAACTTGTGGCCGTTGCAGTGTCCCGGAGTCACATCCTTCCCTTTCCTTTGGTGACCCTTTTTGACAAGCAACATCAATGGGGAAGCCAGATTCACCTAACTAAATTGAACAACTGCAGTGATTCATTTAACAATGGTGGCAAGAAAAGTCGTAAAATGGAGCAAAACTCCTTTAACTGTCCCAGCAACCACAATTTTGGGCTCAACTGTGAGCGTAATTCGAGGATTATCTTTGAAAGCCCCCTTTTAAGGAGAATCATTATCTATGCATGTATAATAGGTTAAAAGATAATTATGAACAATTAAATACAAAGCAATTAAGATACGCAATGTCAAAGGTTATAATTTGTCAAAGCCTAGTGGCAGATACCATTTTTTTTGGTTGTTAACTTTTTATTGTTAACATTTTTAAATTTTCATTGTGATATTAAAGCAGTGTTTCTTAACCTTGACAACTTCAAAATGTCTGGACTTCAATTCCCAGAATTCCCCAGCCAGTTGAGAAACCCTGCATTAAATCGTGTACAGTCCGTAGCAAAATTCTCCTCCAAATACATGTTTTCATATGTTTTGAAATGAATTAATCATGGAGCAACAGACTTGCATTTAAAATGTTTTGCAATTACTATCTTAGCACTGTATTTTGAATAGTCTTAAAGATCATGAGGCTTTCAGCGTTTCTTCTTTTAATATCTACTTTAAGCGTCTGAGATGCCTTTAAATTCTTGCAGAGATAAAAATGTTTGCAAACCGTAGAACAGAAGCACCTATAGTGTTATGTGGATTTGAGGATCTGTTATTTATTTTAGCAGTTCTCATACCAATTTCTGTAACTTTATGAAACATTTAAGCAGGATGTAGCTTTAAGGCATGGATGAGTGTTATGATATGTGGATCGAGAAGACCTGAACATTAATTCAAATACTTGCGCAACACTAGAATACTAATTTTTGTCTCTTCCCTACATGGTGTGCAAGTATATACTAACAGTATTCCAATTAAAATTAACTCTGAAAATTAACTTTTTTTCAAGTAAAAAACAGCAACAACACTTGGATTTCAAAATGACTGACATCAACACTATTACAATTTCTATTCAGTCCTGCTCTTCTGGAAGAGCTCAGCAGGGTGGCTTACAATTAAATTAGGATTAAATCAAACTACAACAGCAGAACATAGCAGATGTGGTGCTCAATAAATTTATTTGCCCATGTTAATTTTATTTATTTAAGAACATTTATATGACTGCCCACCCGCTCTCAGTGACTCTGGGTGGCTTACCAAAATTAAAAACAACTAGTACCAATACTGCTGCATAACAATAGGGCCACAAAGCAAAGAATCACAGAGATACGCTCTCAAGACTTAATTCCATGCCACAAAATATGTGAGGCTGTCAATTAAATGTTCCTTGTGAACTCTATTAACACTCCAAACTGCAAATTGTCTAGCATCATTTTATTGCACCACATTTCAATTTATCGCTTCTCTCCTGTTGCAAGCTGACCACATTCTTCTGCATTCTGTTACCCTCAGCAGCTTCTCACTTCAAGTACCATCTAGACGTCGGGACAGTCTAGCCGCAATCCAATTTCTGTGTTGATATAATCGGTTCCGAATGACCATTTCTTCAAATACATCAACCAGAGTTCCAAAGTCTAGATATCTATTATTATTCATTACGTATCAACAACTTTCAACGTATTCTCTGCATCGAAATTAATTGGGGAAATCTTTTAATATTGAACAAAACGTAGTAAATGAGACCAAGGGTTTTTTTTCTGCCAACTGCACAACTTGATAGAAACTGACCCCCTTCAGAAATGCATATATAGGTTAACTGTATGAACACTTGTATTCTACTTGCTTACTAAGATGTCCTGCTTTTTTTGAGGTAACAGTAGCTTTGGTCTAGCAGTTTTAAATATTCCACATTCCTTAGAAGGATCAGTGCCTTCATGCAGCCCCAATTGCTTGTGTACCCAGCTATATCTGTCTCTGTTCCTGCAGCAGCAGCAGCATTCAGAGCTTCTAAAGCAAAATTACAGCCACTGTTCTATCAGCACATATCAAGATATTGTCAAGTAGTTTGCCTATTAAGCATATAGTCAAAGTTGTAGTTGATGTTTTGTGGCTAGCTTCTCATCCCTGACCTTCCATTAACAATATCCCATTTCAAAACTGAAGCTGGGGATGGAAAGACCAAGTGAAGGAGGATAAGCAGAAAGGATATCTTCAAACTGCTCAGTCTCAATAAAGCAGAATTGTATTTGCAGTGAACCAGTGTATTTTCATGCACTCTCACAAGGCAGCTTTAAATGTTTTTAATTTTGTTCAGTTTTTATGGGACCTCTGCCAGAAGCAATTTTCAAATGCCTTGCCTAAGAAACTGACAAACCAAAAGACCTAAACACATTTTAAACTGGGATATTTTCCAAAATGAACCAACGGCTGTTTGGGCAGAAGCAGAGGTGAGTAATCCTATTATGAGTTTTGCCAAATTCAAATTATTCAAAGTACTACTTGGAAAAAACTTGATTTTTTAACTTGGTAGGAGAAGAGAACAATAGCAATAGCACTTAGACTTTTATAGTGCTTAATGGTGCTTTATAGCCCTCTCTAAGTGATTTACAGAGTCAGCCTCTTGCCCCCAACAGCCTGGGTCCTCAACTTACCGACCATGGAAGGATGGAAGGCTGAGACAACCTTGAGCCAGTGGGAATCGAACTGCCAAACTGCTGGCATTCATCAGAATTAGCCTGCAATAATGCATCCTAACCACTGTACCACCATAGTTCTGATAGTCCAACAACCTGCAGCTGCTCAACTACAATCTTAGACTCTGTTTCCATAATCAGTTTCCATAATGACTTGAATTCCCCAGCCAATATTAGAACATGGAATTCAGTGCATATAAATTTCAGAAAACAGATGCCTCAATATAGCGGGACCAAATAAAGGTCTAAGTATAATGTCTGAGAAATACATAGTTGCAAAGATAAAAATACCAGAAACAAAAATGAATTAATGTATTAATGTTGCAGTCTTAGGCCAGCTCAGCTCTCGAGGCCATATTAACGAATCAGCGGAAGAATGCTGCCCTTGGCAAATTCCAAAACAATTCTTCCAAATTATTTTGAAACATACATAGGCCTATTTGGTAATTTTAATTCAACAACACCCTGAAGTACATTCTGCACTCCTACACAATACGTACCTTAAAACATGATTGGCCTAATCAACAGTGCTACATGTGGAGATCTGTGTGTGAGAAGTGCTTCATTTAATATTTGTACAAATAACCAAAAACATTCTTGCAAACATGCAATGGCTTGAACTTAAATAAAGTGATTTTTCTTTCCATAGTACCCACATTTGCCTTTAATACGTTTTACCACATGGGTTGATAGAGGTTTGGCAACCCATATTACGGCTCTTAACTGGAATACGGAATAATGTCCCATCCGAACACATACAAAGTTTGTAACGTTCCCAGTCACCATTGTTAAATTGTTCCTTGTGAGAAGAATTTGGCAGTCGGGATACATTGATCATCACACTTCCATTCAGGATAATGGAATTGTCCTAGGAAAGGAATATGTCTAAATCAATGAACATGCAACAGTCTTCATAGTCTTCTTTTAATATTATCTACTTTTAGCCTCCAAGATGCCTTTACATTCTTGCACAGATAAAAATGTCTGCAAACCATACAACAGAAGCACCTATAGTGTTACGTGGATTTGAGGATTTATTTATTTTAGCAGTTTTCATACCAACTTCTGTAACTTTATGAAACATTTAAAGAGGATGTAGCTTTAAGGCATGGATGAGGACTGTGGATCGAGAAGAACTGAACATGAATTCAAGTGCTTGCACAACATTGTTGATACTTTTAGATCACATGGTCCATTTTCATTTTGCATCAATGGAAGATTTCATCTAGTTCTAGTCTTAAGAATAGCAACACTTTCTTAACTTACATAATATCCCTTAATATTAAACAGCAATGGAGGGACAGAATGTAAAATTTTATCATTGGATTGCAATCTTTCTGCTTGTTTATAGAGTTGGGATGCTTGCAGAATATATTCATAATATAGTCTGATGCTAACTGGCCTGCTCTGGGTCTCCTGGATTAATGTGTGGAAGAGAATTATCAGTTTTCATGCTTTCTGAATATTCTAAGGTTGTTCACGGTTTAAAATACAGGTAGTCCTCACTTAAAGACTACAATTGAGCCCAGAATTTCTTTCATAATTTATTGCAGTCCTTAAGTCGGTTACCATGTGACCTTACTGTGTTACAACCAATGTCATTAAGTAACACAGCTGTTAAATCAATTCTGAATAGGCATTTTTTGTGGGAAGTTGATAAAATCCCACCAGAAACCGACTAAAAAATGATGGAAATTGCAGTCACAAATTCAAGCCATTGCCAGGCACCAAAAATTGCAATCATGTATCTGGAAGGGAAGCATCAACCATAACTTTTGAGGATGGATCCTAATTTTCTTTTTGGGGTCTGTTGCATTTTTGAACAATTATTAAGCAACCAGTTATAAAGCAAGGATTATCTATACTATCACAGTCACACATCATGAGAGACAATATTTTAAATATTTTATAGAAATAATATAAACCACTTTTAATGTTTTAAGTAAGAAGCAATACTATAAAATGTAAATTGTCATTATTTATATGCAGTTGTGAAGTTAACGTGACCATAATGTGAAAATAAGAATGGTTTACCAGTAAACACAAGCAAAATAAAGGCAATAATTTAATACATTCATCCTTATTCAAAATAGATTTTGAAAGCAGCTTATTTTATTTATTTATTTTGTCAAAAGCTTTCAATACAATAGAAATAAGAATAAACATAAGTTTAAATATAAGAAATAGGAACTAATAATTGGGGACAATAGGCAGGGACGGTAGGCACGATTGTGCACTTATGGACGACCCTTACAGACCTCTAAGGAACGGGGTGAGGTCAATAGAGGTTAGTTTGAGGGTAAAGGAGTGGAGGTTTGAGCAGGTGACAACAGAATCAGGTAGTGAGTTCCAGACATTGACCACTCTGTGGCTGAAATCGTACTTCCTGCAAGTACGATTGCAAGTACCAAGGAGTGGTTTACATTTAGTTTATATCTGTTGTGTGCTCATGTGGTGTTGTGGTTAAAGCTGAAATATTCATTAACTGGTAAGACAGTTAATATTCATTAACTGGTAAGCTTACTTTAATTGTGTCCAGTTCTCTTATTTTCTACTCATCAAGAGAGAAATATGAGTTACAACTAAATATAGAAACAAATGTGTCTCCAACCTTCCCTTTCTTTTTTGAAATTGTTCAAGTGGAAGCAACCATCTGGGGTGACTAATTTGGACTCTTGAAATATAAAAAGGTTTGGACTTCATAGTCTAAACTGGCCAATCCAATGTTATGTTTGTTTGAAATCGCAATACCATATTTTTAACACATTCCTTCCCTCCCTGCAACCTTACAGTCACCTGCATTGTACTCCACGTATTGAGCCTACTTACAGCTACAATACAGGTAATACTTGACTTGCAAGCATTCATTTAGGACACTGTCTTCTTACTCTTCTGCAAAGATGCTATTTAGTTTTAATACTGAATATTCAAATATCCTGCATTTGCTTCCAAACATAGCCACAAGTGTTTGGGTGCATATAATTTATTCAGGAATTCAACAGAGCATTGTGCGTATGAAGTGGAAAGCGTTTATGCACAGAACAGATTTAAAGGCCAACTGAAACATTAAAAATACAGTGTGTATGTGTTTGTGTGAGAGTGTGTGTGCATCCAAGTTTAAGTTCACAAATGGCAAAACTGAACCAGTATCTGACCAAATGACATTTCTTTAGTCGAGCGACCACATTATAAAATAGCTGAAAATCCTGGAATTACTTACGGCTTTCAGTTCCAAGTTCCGTCCGATGGAAAACTTGATGGTTTTGCCCATAATAAACACTCCTTCATTTCCACGGACAATAGCGCGCCCATCAACTTTTATATTGAGATCACTGGTGGCATTGCTTGTAATCTAAAGAGAAAAAAAGAGCATGTGGCTATACAATATGTTTACTAAACTAGTATCGAATATATTTTAAAAAAATCAAAATATCTTGTGTAAAAGGTGCCTTGTTCTTAAACAGTGCTATTCACTATTTGCACTTTGATTATAGCACACAATTGTTTAGGATTACCAGATCTGGACTTTAAAATTGCTCTCAGATCTGAATGTTAAAGTTCTAGATGTCTATTCTTATTCATCTGCTGTCTTTATTGGTTGTTTGGATTCTTGTTACAGAAACAGTAGCTTTATCTAGAATCAAATTTTGTTTATCAGAATAGAACAGAACAGAAGCTAGAAGGGACCTTGGAGATCTTCTAGTCCAGCCCCCTGCTAAACCAGGAGAACTTATACAATCTGAGACAAGTGATTGTCCAGTCTCTTCTTAAAAACCTCCAGTGACGGAGCGCCCACGATTTCTGAAAGCAACTTCTGTTCCACTGATTAATTGTTCTCACGGTTAGGAAATAGTTTCTCCTTAATTCCAGGTTGCTTCTTCCTTTGATCAATTTCCAACCATTATTCCTGGTCCTGCCCTCTGGGTGCTTTGGAGAATAATTTGACCCCCTTTTGAATATTAGTTTGTTCAAAATTTGTTCATTAGTTTATAGAAACTTAGCTTTATCTAAACATCACAGAGCAGCACTAGCTGAATTCTGTATGATTTCTATTTAAGCGATATGCTTAGAATTGGGTTCCTCCATGCCGGAACCATCACGGCACCTGCCACCCCTAAGATCTGAATTGCCCTTCCCCTGAATCGTGTTTAAAAGGTCCATGGAAACTTGGCCTTTTCTGAATCTTAGGTTAGGGTGGATGGCAAGTCTGTTGCAAGGGAGGTTTTGTGTGTGGGGTGTGTGTGTGTGTGTGTTAATTTAAATGTTTCCTCTTTTGGAAGGAAATCATTGTTTTTATTGCTCTATCTTTTTTTTTCTTACAGATAGTCCTTGATCTACAATCATAACTGAGACCAGAATGTCTGTCACTAAGCAGTGTGATTGTTAAGTGGGTTAAATAAGCAAATCAGGTGTCATCAAGCCATTCCGGCTTCCCCATTGAATTTGCTGGTCGGAAGCAAGGTGGGAAGTGCATAATTGATGATCTACCATTGTAGAAACATGCCGATTGCCAAGTGCCCAAATCGGGGTCATGAAACTGTGGGTATGCTGAGATGGTCGTAACCGTGAGGACCATTCTTGTGATGACCCGGGGCGTGACACAAAAAGAACACAGTCACAAAAGTGGAATAAGTTCCCTTTCATGCTTCCAACTTGGGCCCCAATGTCCAATTAGCCTCGGCTTGATATCAAACTCTTCCAAAAAAACAGTCTACGAAGAGAGTAAATGCAGTCCAAACCCAAAGTAAAAATAATTAGACATTTAAAAAACCCAACACAAACCACACTGGAGTCATTAACACAGCAGGCCAGGATGATAAATTGCAGACTTCCATACGATAACGTAGCAACCACAGTTGGGAAGATGCCAAAACCCAGATGAGCCTCGACCAAGATAAAGCACACTTTGCTACCAGCAAAGAGCTATTTAAAATGCCCCACTTACATCCTGTTCTCCCAGCAACTAATGCAACTAATGAAAGGGATCAGGGCCTTTTCCTCTCCTGTAAGATATGTTGCTCCCTTCTCGGTTTCGCCCTACGTGACCTAGGATGAAGAGGGGATGGCCCTGGGTCTTCCTATGAATGCCCAGCCAGACTGTGTCCTTCCCCCGTTTCTTCCACAGCCTCTGGGAGCCACACTCCCACTCCCTGTCAGCTCCTCAATCTCCCCCTCAGAGTCAGACTCCACAAGGGCATGACAATTCTTAAGTGACTTTTTCCAGCACTGTTTGTAACTTTGAAAGTTGCTAAAATGAACGGTTGTAAGTCAAGGATTATGTGCTCTGTTTTTATTGGTCACAGACTGCCCAGAGTCTTTACAAAGTTGATTGGTTATCTGCATTTGGCAATAAATAAATTGCAATTAACGAAGCATATACAATGCATATAAAAGTAGTTGAATATTGTTGTAGAACCTGTTTACATACAGAGATCTAATGCATGGTTTAAATGTCCAGTCATTCCAAGGTCTTTCTGTTCATTATAGTTAACTAGATAACATCTTAGTTACTGTTTGCTTGCTTATTCTATGTGCAGAACATGAGGCTCTACTTTTGAAAATTTATATGAATCTCAATAAAAATATAAATAAAAATTTGAATTTTAGATGACATTGTTTTTTAAAAAATATTATAAATTTACAGTTGGAAGTAAGCAAAATATAATCCATACCCTTTCTGTAGATGCTTTTTGGACATTTAAAATTTTTACTCCACTTGGCAAATTAAACTCATGGGTATTGTAGTCAGTGCTAAACAAAGTGTTTTGAGTTCGTGGGTCAACAAATTCCATTCCGATATCGCTGGTAATTGAAGTTTTATTTTTCTCCACACTAAGTTTTGTTTCCCCTTGCTGAAATACAATCTTTAAAAAAGAAAGGGAGAGGGTGCTGATTTTAATAACACAGAAATTATTTTGCTTAAATTATTAATTGGTAGTGCTTTTTCATCTTAATAAGAAATTTATAAATTTATTTTTAAAAGGCATAAATGCAAGACAACATCCCACAAATTGAACAATTAAAACTGAAATAAAGAAAACTGCAATATTCCAGGGTCATAGAAATAAAAGTCCACAACCAAAAGAATTTCACTAACCAGCCAAACAAACAAGCGACCAGTAACTAAAACCCAGATTTTTGACTATCAGAGATATATCTTATCCATACAAGGGTATCTTAAGAGGGTATGCTACAACTACCATTACTAAGAAGATTTTCCTCTTGGTTAGATTCCAGCCAAACAGAATTCAGCAAGATAATATGAAGCCAAACCTTAGATACTGAATGTTAATACGCCGGGAGGCACCTACTTACTGGCTGGTTTTCTCCAACAATCACCAAATCTTCGTTCCGTCGGCCTCCTACTGTGCTCTTATATAATGGGTGTATAATTCCCATATCAGAATCTTGTTTAAATCTTAATAATCCGCTATCATGAAACTCCATGCTATCGCAGCCGTTGGGCCCAATACGAATTACAGCCCAAATTATGACAGTGATCTAAAAAAGGAAACATTGAAGAGTTCTGAAAGATTCATGTCGCTTGGTGAAGGAATTAACATTTGAACCATTTGCAAAGTTTTTGACCTTCTCCAAAACTTTTGAGAAATGTTTATGGTACAGCGAGCCTGAATGATGTCCATGAAAGGCAGCTTCCTACAGCAGTATAGGAAACAATTTATAGGTAGTCCTTGGCCTACAACCATTTATTTAGTGGCCAATGTTACAATGTCACTGTAAAAAATGACATGTATGAACATTGCAGAACCCCCCCCCCTCCACACACCCATGGTCATATGATCAAAATTCAGATGCTTGGCAACTGGTTCACTTAACAACAGTGTTACTAACTTAACTGCAGTGATTCACTTAACAACTGTGTTAAGAAAGGTCGTAAAATGGAGCAAAATTCACTTAAGAACTGTTTCACTTAGCAACAGAGAATTGGGGCTCAATTGTGGTCGTAAGTCAAGGACTACTCGCATGAGGAATGGCTAAGATTCTTTCTTTTATAAAATGAAAAATAAAACATATATATCTAAAATATTTCCCCCCTCTCCTTGCATTCAATACTTTAGCTATCCATCTTAAGGAGATGTAAATGTTCTAGATGAAATTCGGGAAGACCTGACAACCGTGAGTGACTTATTATACCTTTGTTACCTCCTGTTCAGTTGCTTCAAGGCATTCTGCAGGGGGGGCTGCCTTTGAAGGCCACTCGGATTGTGCAGCTTGTTCAAAATGCAGCTGCCCATCTTCTAATGAGTAAGGAACACCCGTCATATTTTGGGTCAGATCTGTGGGCACTGCACTTGCTACTACCGAGCTTCTGGGGACAATTCAAACGGTTGGTTTTGACCTATGGAATCCATAATGGCTTGGCACCCAGGTACCGGCAGGATCTTTTGCTTCAAACAGAACCTATCCTACGTGAGGGATCTGGGCAGGGGTCAGCAGTCAAATCTTCTGGAATAGCCTCCCCCAGAGATTTGTAGGATGCCCTCCCCCACCTGATATTTCAGGAGTACCATATTTTTGGCACTCTAAGACCAGAGGTGGCATTCAGCAGGTTCTGACCAGTTCTGGAGAAACGGTAGTAGAAATTTTGAGTAGTTCGGGATACCACCTCTGACTAGCCTCGCCCCCATCTATTCTCCGCCTCCCAAGCCCCAGCTGATTGGCTGGGTCTTCTTTGGTTGCCCTGCACAGGAGAACGGAGCTGGAAAGCAGGCTAGTGGGGAGGGAATGGGGATTTTGCAGTATCCTTCCCCTGCCACGCCCACCAAGCCACACCCACCAAGCCACGCCCACCAAGCCATGCCATACCTACAGAACCAGTAGAAAAAATTGTTTTGAATCCCACCACTGTATAAGACGCTCTAAACCATAAGACCCACCTAGCTTTTGAGGAGGAAAACGAGGGGGGTGGGGAAATCTGCCTCTGTCTCCCACCAATTTGGCTCCTTACAGCAAACAGCTTGGTCAACTTCAGCACAGCCTGATTTAGCACGAGCAGCTGATTAGCAATTGGATTGGCCTCCTGGGATACTGCCGATCAGCTATACTAGGCTACAGGGATTGCCGCCAACCCCCCCCCATTGTCGTTGCCACCTATTGCAGCTTCCACGCGTCCCGTTTTCGACCTTCGCGTGTCCTGTTTTTGGCCTGTTCCAGGTGGCTACGAACGGGTCGAAAACGGGATACATGGAGGCAGAAAATGAGATGCACAAAGGTGCCAATAGAGGGCGGCGGCGATCCACGCAGCCTGGAACAGCTGATTGGTGATATTCTGGGAGGCCAATTCAACCGCCAATCAGCTGCTCATGCTAAATCAGGCTGTGCTGAAGCTAACCAGGCTGTTCGCTGCAAGGAGGCAAATTGCTGGGAGGCAGAGGCCAAAGGATGGGGGCCAGCCTGTGGGCGTGGCTTTGGCAACATTCGCTCTATAAGATGCACAGACATTTCCACCCATATTTGTTTGGTGGGAAAAGTGTGTCTTATAGTGTGAAAAATACGGCATATAGATCACCTTACACTTCCAAAATCAGCTGGCAGGCTCTGGTGCAGTTGAGGGAACTGCCATTAGTGCATGGCATAGTAGGTGGAGTCATTCCGTCCCTTGATCAGGAAAGAACACACAGCTTCTCCTGTTGCTAGTAAGTTCTAACTGAATATCATTATAGATTGTTATACTTACAATTAAATTAATAACCGCCAAAATGAATAGGAGGACCAGGACACAGATTGCCAAATTGCCTTTTCTGCCTCGCAAACCAGTTTTGTGTAGACGATCTTCATCAATCGGGATGTATCCAGCCTTGAAGTTAGAGTTATGCTCTTTGTTAATATTTCTGCGTTCCACGGCCTTTTCTCGCATCGATTTCTTCACGGGGCCATTCGAGCTTTGCTAAAATTTCATCCAAAGACATCATATGGACCAGATTAATTAATATTTCATTTCTGCCATAATATGATGATCAAAGGAAGATTTGCTCACTAATATTTAAATGTTTTAAAATGATCAGTAAGCGTCTACATGGGACTATATCATTTATTTTATTTACAAAATGATTAGATCCTGGAGAAAGGGAGCAGAAGTTGAAAAATACTTCAACGATCCTTACAGAACAGGTAGTCCTTAAATTATGACCATAATTGAACCCAGGAATTTTGGTTGTTAAGTCATAATGGTCATAAAGTAGGTCACCACATCATCGGACCTCATTTTACAACCTTTTTTTTTGCAATGGTCATAAAGCGATCGCCATGATTCTCAAGCAAACACCAGAACCCATTATTTTCAATGATTCACTTAGCAACTGTGGCAAAAAAGGTTGTAACATGGGGCAAAACTCGCTTAACAAAAATTTCAGGGTGAATTGTGATCATGAGGACTACGAAAGGTCGTAAGTTGGTTCTGCAACCCAACAAGACAGACACAGACTTCAGAGAATAATTAGGGCTGCAGAAAAAACAATTGCTACCAACCTGCCTTCCATTGAGGACCTGTATACTGCATGAGTCAAAAAGAGGACTGTGAAAATATCTACAGATCCCTCACAGCAAGGACATAAACAGTTTCAACTCCTTCCCTCAAAACGACTCTATAGAGCACTGCACATCAGAACAAGACACAAGGGCAGGTTTTTCCCGAAAGCCATCACTCTGCTAAACAAATAATTCCCTCAACACTGTCCAACTATTTACAAAGTCTGCACTACTATTACTATTAATCTTCTCATCCTTCCTTTCGCCCATCCTCTCCCACTTGTGACTGTATGATTGTAACTTTATCGATTGTATCCTTACGGTTTTTATTGACTGTTTCCTAGTATGATTTGATTGCTTATTGTACCTTATAACTATCATTAAGTGTTGTACCTGATGATTCTTGACTCCTGAAGGATGTATCTTTTCTTTTAGGTACACTGAGAGCATTTGCACCAACACATATTCCTTGTGTGTCCAATTACACTTGGCCAATAAAGAATTCTATTCTATTCTAAAGACTATTCGTACTTTTGATTTTTTCTTAATGTCATGAAAAGGAAATCTTTTCAGACCCCAACAATGCCTTTCAAAGGAGCGTTATCAACCTTTCTCAGTTTTGCAAAGCTCATCAGCACCTTTCTGTCCTCTGCAATTACTGCTATCTGAGTATATGGCCATCCGGTTGAGCTTCCCAGTTTTCCACATCTCCTCCACTGTCCTTGTTAGATTTTAGACTTAGAATAACTTTACTGTCACTTTGAATGGACACTAATCGACATATATTAAAATGAAATGTCGTTGCATGCAGCTCTCAGAGAGAGTCACCAGCTCCCACATGCGTTAAAGATGACAAAATAAATATAAAGTTATGCGTATACCCACATATATTATATGACATGGAGAAACATCACAGCCTAGATAGACCAACCAAACGTAGCTTTGTACCATTTGGTACAAAATATAAATTGAAATGCAAATAAAGTCCCTTCATACAAATTAAAACTCTAATAAACTAAAGATAGCAAAATGCTATACCCTACTAAAGACTTATTTCATGGTTTGTATCAGGCAGTAAAACAAAAACAAAAAATAACTCCTAACACTCCTAAAGAGGATTTAGTTCAGCAAAAAATAATGGAATGTGCAGAAATGGACACGCTCACGTTACAAATGAAAGAGGAGGACTCCCAAGTATTATTCAATCTGGCACAAATGGTATGAATGGGTCATGGGATATAAGAGATATAAGATATAAGAATAGATATAAGAAATAATAGTATAATATAATATAATATAATATAATATAATATAATATAATATAATATAATATAATATAATATAATATAATATATACAATAGATATAAGAAATAAGAACAGGAGATTAATTGTAAGAGACCTTAAGAAAATGATGTGTAGATATGTAAAATATATAGGTATATAAAATAGAACTAACAATTAAGGGTGGATGTATATTAAATGTATTAGGACTTATAAGATAATACTTGCAGATGTCAAAATGCTGTTGAAAATGTGAATACGATTTGAATTGTCTTGGTGGAAAACATAATAAAAATTTATGAAAACAAAACAAAAAATAAGAATAGAATATAACTTTATTATAGTCATAGACCTGCAATAGACATCACTATTTACAATATATTAAAAAAGTAGACACATTATAGTACATTAAAAAAGCACAAAATAAACAATAAACAATGTAATTAATTAATGAAATATAAAATTATGCATATACTAACAACGCAGTCTACTGATCAACCCAAAATAGGCACCATTTGGTACCAAATACAAATCGAAATGCAACTAAAGACCCTTCATACAAATTAAAACTCTTGATAAACTCAAGATAAGCAAAACGCTATACCCTAAAGTCTTATTTCATGGCTCGTATCAGGTAGCACCCCTAAAATAAAGTAATAAATAAAAATACAAAATTATGCGTATGCCCACATTTATAGATTATATGACACAGGGAAACAACGCAGTCTAGGTCCGGATATATACATGCAGAGGGCGAGAAAACAAACCAACCAACCCCGAAATCTTGCGAGTTTATTCCATTAGGGACCCGCCTGAGCTCCGGCGAGAGGCCGGCCCTCGTAGCGGTCTATTTTTTGCTTTTGCACGGAGGGTCGGGCGCGCTTAATTGGGCAGGAATCTCCCTCTCGGACGCCGCTCCGGGCGTGGTCCTCGGCCAAGGGGCAAGCAAGCCAAGGGCACCAAAGCGCATGATTGATTTATTTTTTATCATTATTATTATCATTATTATTTTTTGGAGGGGTATTTTAAGGCTTCCCTTAGGATTCCTTCACAAAGCGCGAACATAACGGGCGGCGACGGGAGGCGCGCCGTGGCGGAGCCGCTGAGGCGAGCTTTCTCCCCACCGCGCGTTCCTTTCTCCCTCAGGCCGCCGACGGGCGCTGCTGAGGGCGGACTTCCCTCGCCCGTAGGCTGCTGCGAGATTCCCCCCACCCCTCGGGGACGAGCTCAGACCCGCCATTTAGCCCCAAATTGGGGGTGGGGGGGGGGGGCAGAGGGGCCCCGGGGGCCCGGCCCCCCCCCCCCCCCCCCCCCCCCCCCCGCCCGCCCGCCCGCCCGCCAACGTCTTCCTCCTCCTCCTCCTCCTCCTCCCCTCAGCTGCAGCTCAGCTTGGCGCCAGCTTTGCAAAGCGGCAAATCTTTTGCGGCCTCGGCGGCTTCCCGAATCTCCTTCCCTCTCTGCTCCCCCTGGGCTACCGACCTGTTCGGAAGCCGAAGCCGCTGCCGCCGCCGCCGCCGCGGCTGGAAGAACCGCCATCTTCGGCTCTTGTCCTTCCTTTGCCCGGCAGGGGGAGCGAGGCCGCTCGTCGAAAAGCTGGCGCGGAATCCCTCCTTCGCCGCCGCCGCCGCCGCCTCCGGTCGGCGCTTTCTGCGGCAGGCGGCTGGTGCGAAGGGGAGAAGCCGCGAGAGGCCGGGCTTGGGTGTCCCAAGAGAGCCCCGTGGAAGGATTTTTCAGCGCCGGCCGAAAAGGAGGAGGTGGAGGAGGAAAAATACAGGTAGCCCTCCATTTAAGACCACAATGGAGACCAGCATTTCTGTTGTTAAGGGAGACATCTGTTCAGTGAGTTTTGCCCCATTCTAGGGCCTTTCTTGCCCCAGTTGTTTAAGTGAAATACCGCAGTGGATAAGGTAATAATCCAGTTGTTAGGTGAATCGGACTTAGGTGGATAGGATCCTGGATAGGATAGCATACTGGATAGGATAAGATCCTGGATAGGATAGGATCCTGGGTAGGATAGGATTCTGGGCAGTATAGGA